ATTTGTTCCTCTTTACAATGCCATATTTTATCAAAATCATAAGCTAAATTTTGAAAAACCACGTCGGTTTTAATTCCTATATAATTTGTTTACTGTGTTTGCATAGCCAATGTTTCATGCCATGTGCCATATTCGCTGTAACTTGCTGCCTTGCTGGTGTACTAGATACAAAGAAAATCACATGCATTAGTTGAAGAAAAAGTGTTTAAACTGGAGATTGTGCTGTCATGGATTGAATGATCTTTATATTAATTTTAGTGATACAAATGAGAACCCTGAATTTGCGTTTCTGTTTTGAAGATAAGGACTATGGACCAAGAACCGTTAAAGATTTGAAGTTAATTAGTGCCGGAAAAATATTGGAGAACAACAGAACAGTGGGAGAATGTCAGAGTCCATTGTGTGATCTCCCTGGTGGAGTTACAACAATGCATGTGGTTGTGCAACCACCTTCTGTGGAAAAAGGTTTAGCATTACTTTTTACTATTTTTACTTTAAAAGTATGTCAAAAATCTGTTTTCCTTTTATATAGCATATATAGCCTCAAGATATAATGGTTTTGTTTCAAACTATGACTGGACTGAGTTCATGCTCTTTTTCAAATGGTGTGTAGTGGTTAATAACAGAACGATTATCATTGGAAAAACTGTCTCAATTTATGTTATCTTTAGCCCATGTAAGTTGTGGCCTTCTGGGGCTGGTGGAGTTGTTTATACTGCAATCTTACATTAACTAGTGAAATAACTTATATAATGAAGCTACTAATCTCACTTTACAAAACTACACCTTACAAAATGAGTTTTTTAGATTAAATTTGATTTAGAACTATATTCTAACACTATGCTTGTAACCTTGATATAATGCACATTACTCCAGGTCAGCTTAAGAGAACAGTTTACAGTTGTTATGAATACATATCACAGTTGGCCTACAAAAACTATTTGAACAATTACAGGAAAATAGACTAATATAAGAAAACTTCTGCCATTAGTTTATGCTTAAGTTAATACTAGTTTGTAGAAATGGTTATTTTATTTTCTCTCTTATGGACAAGTTTATCTAAGCATACTCTTAACTATATTTCCTCATTAGTGGTACAAACAACTTAAGTAATTGCTTATAGGATACAACTTATACAATGAGACCCTACTTAAGTTGTTCATCCATGCATGTCATAAATATAAAACTTATTTGAGTTCATCTGGTTTTGGTGCTTTATTTGATTCTTTTTGACATTCTGGTGTTTTTCTCTTGAAACAGATAGGAAAGTAACAAGTGAAGTAAAGCAGAACAAATGTGTTTGTGTGATATTATAGTGTCCAGATTGAACAGAACAGAAGATGTCATCTACTTTAAAAGTCACACTTGTATACATTTTTATGGCTTTCAAAAGATTTCCTCATACACAAACTCTTTGGTTGCATGCCTCATGACAACTACAGGTACAAGAGTTTTTGGCATGTGAAGGAGTTATTGCTTTCTCTTCTTTTTCTGCATCTTGTTGCTGCCTCATTGTGCAATTGGTATAACTGTTGATTGAAATGAACTCTACAATTGTGCTTGTGCTTCAGCTTGGTGCAAAATACTTCCAGTGTTAAACTTGTTGCTTGTTTAAGTGATTTATGATCAATGTAAAGAACTCTGTATCAATAAATATTTTCAGAAGAGCTACATTTTAGTGATCAGTTTCCAAAAAAACATTCAGAATCTCTTATTATAACTCCAAGTTTTACATTGGATAAAATTGAAATTAAAAAAGTTAATTATATCGTATGAGGCGCAATTCATCATAATTTAGGGTTTCCCAGTTTGTGAAATTTGGAATTTCTCTGTAGGTTTGTTATGAGGGGCAATTCATCATAATTTAGGCTTGATTTTTAGGTTACCTTCATAGGCTTGATGCACAAGGAAGAACATTTCTGGGTAGTGCTTCATTGCAACGGAAGATGACCCTTTTTTTTAATCAAACATTTTCCATATAAGAGGCTTTGAGAAAGTTAACCTATTAACACAATTTAATAGCAAATAGCCAATTTTTCTCATTTTTCACTTTTAACCCAACAAAAATAAGAACTACGAAAGTAGTTTAACCTTTTGCTAAACTAAAAATGTTAAAAATACAAAAAAAAGGGTCAAGAATGGTTAAAATCAGTATCGTGCTCATAAATATTGTTAATAATATAAGTTTTTTAAAAATGAAGAAAAAAAAAACTTGATACTCTAAAAAATTTTAATTACTTACCACATCGAACGAAATAATAAAAAGGAAATGGTATTTTTATAGCGCTAGAAAAATAACTCTAAAAAGTTTAGAATTCCAAAACCCATGAAAACAATTCGTAGAAAACAGGCCAGAATATAATTATTGAAAAATATTGTTTTTAATATTAAGAAATTATTATTTTTATTATTAAATTTATTTATTTTAATTAATAATGATAATATAAATAATAATAATTTACATAATTTATATCATTATACAAAAATATTCATCCTTTTGGTCTTTATATTTTATTTTTCAATTTTACCTTTTAATAAGTAATATTTGTTTTAAATTAAAATCATTTATTTACCAATTTTATTTTTTAAGTGACTATGTTTTTATTTTAACCCTTTTTTATCTAATATTTTTTCTATATTAATATTTTTTAAAACTAAAATAACTATTTATAATAAAAAAATTATCTATAAATAAATAAAAACTACCTTTTATTGTAAAAATTATTTATATTTACTTTTATAATTATAATTTTATAATATCATAATATATTTGAATTTTCCAAATAATAAAAAAAAATCAATCATTAAAATTATTTTTATTTTAATTCACATTATGAAAAATTTTGTTGTTGGGTTAAGAGAAGCTTCTTCTTACACACCCATGTTTTCTTCATGGATGTTCAACTATTGTGATCCTTCCCATTTTGTCCCTCCAAATTAGGTAAACTAGATTTTGAAATTTGATATTGTTATTTGGATTATGTAATGTTAACCTAATTTGGTAAAAAAAAATGTATTAGCGAAAAGAAATATAGAATTTAGTGTTTGTTTCTTGATGGTGTAGTCATTGAGATTTTAGAACCGAGTGTGTATTCGGAAAAAGTAACTGGATTGTAAAATTTGATGACCAATATCGGATATAGAGATACACATTGAATTCTGAATTTTGGTGACTACATCATGATAACGGTTGAAAAACCATTATTTTTATACTTAACTTCGATATTAATAACACCCTTTCTGACTTAGAAACTTTCTTTAACTCATGTTTTTACTTTACTTTTGTGAATAAGAGAGTTGAAGGTGAATTTAATGGTTTTGTGCTAGATTTCCTTGATTTTGTAGGCTATTGGAATGATTTGAAAGAAGAGCTGAACGTCATTTGAGTGCGGATTTGAGGATGCGGGAGTCTCCTCTTCTCTTTTTAGGGTTTTTCTATCTCTTTCATTCTTTCATTCCATTGTTCATCTGGTTTCTCCATGATAATGGAGAACTAAACCTTATTTGTTGTTGGAAAAGATGTAACCTCTTAAACTCTCATGTATTAAATTGATTCTTGATTATATATGTTTTACTTCATTAATTGTTAGGGTTTTTCCTCTACGCTCTATGCATGCTTTGTTTAACTCATTCAATTGCATGATTATTGGTTTTGTCACTATGGACACATATGAGAAAATCTAGAACTGGAGAAATTCTCCCAAAAGAAATATTACCTAGATATAGGGATAGGAGGATTGGTTGCCTTTAAGCTTCTGTGCGAATGTAATGCATGATTAATTGCTAGGGAGACAAGACATTGTAAACTAGTAATTAGGAGTAGGCTTTCTTCACCGAGACATCTTAAGGTAAATTAGGAAGTGACATTAACATTAATGAAGAAGATGAATTCATATATGCATGAGAGTAAATTAGGTGAAATCTAAACCCAACAACAATATCATCAACTTCATCCATTCATTCTTGTGTTTAGATCAAATTGCATTCATGTTTATTTTATTGCATTTGCATCAAAAAAACCCCAAAATTTGTTCTTTAGAGTCTTAATTAGTTGAGTAATCACATAACTGTTTAGTGTCGTGAGTCTCTTGGAAAACGATACTTGATCTTACCATTTATTATTACTTTATATGATTTAATACACTTGTCGAGGTCTTAACAAGTTTTTGGCGCGTTGCCAGAATAAAAAATTTTGTTTATCAAATCACTAACAAACAAACACTTGATTCTATGTTTTGGTGCACTAATACCCTCGACTACAAAATCCTGTTAACCATACTAGATTTGATAAATAATAACAGATTTCAAAATCTGGTTAACATTCAATACATACCAGATTATGTATTCCGGTTAACAATAATTTGTATGTTAATGAACAAAAAATATTTCAGAATCTGGAACATGTTCAAACAACACAAGTTCCAAATAAACATAGGTTAGAACTATGTCTAAAGGCAAATACATGTCTAGTGAGTTCTGTTTTTGTTTTTTGTAATACTATATTTGTATTTTGGATCCACCATTAATAGAAAGTTTATAGGTAAATGATTTGTATTATGGATCCATTTCACAAGTTTAATTTATTGAATTGTCTTTTATGTGAATATCAATCAGAAATTCATGTATTGCTTTTTAGTGATTGTATTTTTGTGGTTTTAGATAAAAATGGAATTGTGTAAATGGAGAAAAAAAAGTAGTGTGAAGTAGAATGATGAAGATGATTAAAGTGAAAGTACTTGATAAACTAGAAAAGTGAAAAAAAATGTAAATGCATGAAAATATAAATTATCAAGGATGAAACAAAAATAGGAAAAATAAATGAATGAAAATTAGAAAAATTATTGACCCAATTGGAAATTAAGTGAGGAGGTTGTTTCTGACTTATTTTAAAAGTTAAAGAAATATTTATAATAACAATTTGCATCGTATCTATTATTATGGGAGTAAAACCCTATATATTAGGGTTGCGAGAGCTGATCTCAAAGGAAGGAAGGCGGGCAATGGCGATTTCTTCTGCTGAAATACTCCCTCATGAACTCCTAATGGAAATTATGTCATGGCTTCCTGTGATGAGTCTCATGCAATTCAGGTGCGTTTCAAAGACGTGGAAATTCCTTATATCCAATCCCTACTTGGTGAAATTGCATCTTGAAAGATCATCCAGAAACCCAAAAATCCTCTTAATGGCGAAACAGAGAGACAATAATATATGTTTCTGGGCTCGTTCACGCTCTTTACCTTGTTTTATCAAAAGCCCTGCACAGTCTTTATGTGATCGTATCTTGCCCTGCCCTAACCCTTATAAATATTATTTATTCGGCTTTTGCACCAAAGTAGGCAAATATGCCTCTAATATTACCAAAATGGGCAAATTCAAACCATATTACGAAAATGGGGAAGTCGTGAGGGGCCCAAACGACTTCAAATGAAGAAGTTGTGCCCCTCCTGCACGACTTCACACTGTTCATAGCAACAATGTTGAAGTCGTGCACCCCAAAAACGACTTCTGGGTCCTGTAATCGATTACCATTTTTTGGTAATCGATTACACAATGTTGAAATCCTGACCCCTGCAAGACTGAAAATGGACGAGCGTTCAATGCAAATGGACGAGCGTCCACTTCTCCTGCCGAGCGTCCACTTTTGGTGCAAGGCGGAAGAGACGCTCGTCCAGGCAGAAGCGGACGCTCGTCCAGGCAGAATAGGACGCTCGTCCAGCCAGGCAGAAGAGGACGCTCGTCCAGCCAGGCAGAGAGAACGCTCGTCCAGAAAGCTAAGAGGACGTTCGTCCATCTAGCTAAGAGGACGCTCGTCGAGATGCGCTCAGTGGACGCTCGGCAGGAGAAGTGGACGCTCGTCCATTTTCAGTGAACGCTCGTCCACATACAGATCGTCCGCGCCCGGGCGCGCGATTCTTTCAAAAAGTTTCAACACTCTGTAATCGATTACCAAATCAATGTAATCGATTACAGGATCCAGAAGTCGTTTTTGGGATGCACGACTTCAACACTGTACCTATGAACAGTGTGAAGTCGTGCAGGGGGGGCACGACTTCTTCTTTTGAAGTCGTTTTGGCCCCCCACGACTTCACTTTCGGTCAAATTTTGCCTATTTTGGTAATAAAGAAGGCATATTTGCCTACTTTGGTGCAAAAGCCTATTTATTCGGTTCTTGCAATGGTTTGCTTTCTCTACATGACTCCCTTTCCACAAATGGGTGTGAACAGCACTGGGTCTGCTTTTGGAACCCTGCCACCAATATTTGCTCCGGGCCTTCACCAAGCTTGCTTCTATATTACGGCAATGCTCGTGTTCAGCATTATATGTATTTTGGGTTTGGGTACGATGATCGGAGGGACAGGTACAAGGTAGTGGCAATGGTTTTGGATTGGACTACACTGCAAAAGAGTATGTGGGTTTACTGCATGGGTGACGTATGTTGGAGATGTCCTTTAATGACCTCTCCGGGTTTTTACCCTTTTGACAGTAATGGATACTCTATGAATGGTACTGTTAACTGGATAGGAATTTCTTTGGAAAAATCGAAATTTGAGGTGCTACAGATTTTTTCGTACGATCTAAAGAACGATACTTGCAGATATTTGTCGGTGCCTCAAACTAAAGATTCTGAGTTTACTGCTATGGGAGTTTTTAATGGTTGTCTTTGTGTTTCTTGCGATCAAGGGATGATCGCCTTTGTTGTTTTGGCATTGAAGGATGTTCGAGACGAAAGATCTTGGAGTCAGTTGTTGAGTGTAAGTTATGAAACTCTGAAAATCTCTCCTTGTTACCATAACCTACGGATTTTGTTCATGTGGGGTGATCTTCTCTTGCTCACATGTTCAGAGTTTGGGGGTGCTTACAATATCATCAGTATCTTTAATTTGAAGGAGAATAAAGTAAAACGTACTCAAGGTTACTTCAAGTCGTTTGTCGGTGACATCTTCTGTTGTCACTATGCTCCAAGCTTGATTTTGCCTATTTGAGACATTTATTTATGTTAAATTAAGGTAGTGGTTTCAGAACTTTTTCAAAGGTATGGACATGATTTTGGTATTTCCTTATTTTGATTTGTTTTATGATTGTTTTACTATTAATAAAATTTCGTTTCTGCATTGATTTTGGCTTCAAAAATTATAAACCTTTATGTACATTGTCAAAATTGTTTCCGGTGAGCTAGAATTTTGTCGTCATCTGTGACCAAGGTTCAAAATTGTCATGGTGTTTCTGTCTTATTTGTGTAATGGAGAAGAAAAGTAGTGAAGTAGAATGGTGAAGATGAGAATGAAGATTATTTAAAAACGGTACATGTTTGTTAATTATTCTTACTAAACCCATGTTTTGTCGCTAATATGATATGCTTCAACTCTCCTTTGTAACCACATATAATTTATCTTTTGATTTTATCTAACCAATGTCTTTCTTAATACATTTCTTGAATTCTAGATATTTTTTAATTTTCACTTTGATAACTTTATATATTTTGATTTCCTATGTAACCATTATTTTCTTAACCTTGTCTCTAATATCTTCATCTTTTGATGTAGATACTTTTTTACGTATTTATTCCTCTATCTTTTGATGTCCTTCTATATATTCTCAACACACCTATGAATTATAATTATATTTTTATTAACCTCAAGATATCATAACAGATTTGAAATTGTGATTCTGAAAGTTGGATAACCTATGTTGTTGAGTAAGTCAAATCTGTTTCTTAATAATAAATCTTTTGATATAAATATGTTGATATGGTCAATCATCATTGTATTATTTTTTAAAAATTTTTGTTTGACAATATGTTTCAACACCAATCCGTTAAGATAATATTGTTAAAATTATCAGTATTATTTTGAAGTTTAAAGTTCTATTATAAATTTATTCTTAAGAAACATTAAAAAATTTGAAAGAAAAAAAAATTCAAATTATCTCTAATCTTAAATGATAAATTGTATGAAATGATGGAACGAAATAATATCAATAATGCATGATAATAATTTAAAGTGTCCATTAAAAAAAGAAAAAAAAAGTAATAATACAGCAAGAACAAAGTTAGGGAAAAGAAAATGAGTGTACAATAGAGTCTTCAAGCAAAGTTGACCGATTTCAAGAAATAAAATTATAACATTTTAATAATTTTGTCTTAACAATCCTCAAATTCCTGATAGAGTAAATTCTTTTACAGAAGATAAGATCTTGTTACTTATTTATAACACACTAGAAAACAATCAAAGAGTCGCACGATATAGATGCTCTGATTTAAGAACAAAATTTTAGATGCAAGTTTAATTTAGCATAATTGTGATTATTATTTTCTAACTGACTGTTTTTATTTTAACCCTTTTTTATCTAATCTTTTTTCTATATTAATATTTTCTAAACTAAAATAACTATTTATAAAAAAAAGTAACTACAAAATAAATAAAAATTGTCTTTTATTGTAAAAATTATTTATATTTACTTTTATAATTATAATTTTATAATATCATAATATATTTGAAATTTTCAAATTAGTAAAAAAAAACAATCATTTAAATTATTTTTATTTTCGTTCTAAGTATGAAAAATTATGTTATTGGATTAAGGGGAGCTTCTTCTTATACATACATGTTTTCTTCATGACCCTCAACTTTTGTTATCCTTCCCATTTTGTCTCTTTAAATTATGTAAATTGAATTTTGAAATTCAATATTGTTCTTCAATAACGTTAACCTGATTTGGTAAACCGAGGTATAAGTGAATCGAAATATAAAATTTAGTGTTTGTTTTTTGGTGGTGTAATCATTGGACTTTAGAAACAATTGTGTATTTGGAAAAGGTAATTGGATATTGTAAAATTTAGTGCCAAAATCATATATAGAGATATACATTGGATCCTAAATTTTGGTGACTACATCACCAACAAACACATACTTGATTCTATATTTCGGTCCACTAATACCTTCTACCACAAAAATCCTGTTAACAATACCAGATTTAGAAAATAATACCAGATTTCAAAATTTGGTTATCATTCAATGAATATTAGATTATGTATTCCGGTTAACAATAATTTGTATGTTAATGAACAAAAATAATTTCAAAATCTGAAACACTTTCAAGCAACACGAATTCCGAAGACTAGGCCAAGAAAAGGAGAACAAAGAAGATAAAGAAATTCTGAAAGAACTTGTGTGATTTTTCTATGTTTGCAACATCACTTACTAATAAGGTTATAGAAGTATGTTTAAAGGTTTATTTTTGTTTAGTGAGTTATATTTTTTTTTTTTTGTAAAAGCAATATGTTTGTATTTTGGATTTCACAGTTAATACAAAGTTATATATATATACATATATATATATATATATATATATATGTATGTATGTATGTAAATTGTTTGTATCGTGGATCAATTTTACAAATACGTTTAATTTATTGAATTGTCTTATGTGAATATCAATCAGAAATTTATGTATTGGTTTCTAGTGATTGTATTTTTGTGTTTTTAGATTAAAATGGAATTGTGTAAATGGAGAAGAAAAGTAGTGTGAAGTAGAATGGTGAAGACGAAGATGATTAAAGTGAAAGTTGTTAGAAATATAAAGAGAAAAAAAAAATATATGCATGAAAATATAAATTGATAAAATAAATGAATGAAAGTTAGAAAAATTATTGACCCAGTTTGAAATTAAGTGAATAAGTTGTTTCTGAATTATTTTAAAACTTAAAGAAATATTTATAATTACAATTTGCATGGTATCTATTCTTATGGGAGTAAATTCTACTGATGTCAAAATGAGTTGTAATTCGCGAGCCAATCCGGTTCATCACGGGTTTGAGCTGGGTTGGATTTGAAAAAAAATGTAATTTTCTTATGCCGTGTCAAAATGACTTGTAACCCGACCCACCTCATCATGAGTTTGAGTCAGATTGGATTCCAAAACAATATAATTTTTTTATGCAGGTTAGTTTTCAATCCGACTTAGTTAGAACTCGGCTCACCGGGTTGAACTCATGATGAACAATTTAATTTATTTATTTATTATTTTGTATTTCAATATTATTATTATTATTAGTTAACAGTTATTATCTTTAAAATTTAACATGTACATTTATTTAAAAAATTATAATTTTTTATTTTAAAAAATACTTATAATTAAAACAACCAGTAAATTAACCGTTTAACCCACTGCTCTAATAAACTATATATTGTAAACTATATATTAGGGTTGCGACAGCCGATCTCACAGGATTTGGGAAGAAAGAGCAATGGCAATTTCTTCTGCTGGAATACTCCTTCATGAACTCATACTGGAAATTCTGTCATGGCTTCCTGTAACGAGTCTCATGCGATTCAGGTGCGTTTCAAAGACATGGAAATTTCTTATATCCGATCCTTACTTAGTGAAATTGCACCTTGAAAGGTCTTTCAGAAACCCACAAATCCTCTTACTGACGACACAGAAATTCAAGAGTCAATAATTCTCTGCTCGTTTATGCTATCTACCTTGTTTAATCCAAAAGCCTGCACGCTCTTCTTGTGGTCGTATCTTGCGATGCCCCAAACCCTATAAATATTTATTGGGTTCTTGCAATGGTTTGATTTCTCTACATCACTCTCTTTCCACAAAGGAGTAAGAAGAGCACTGGGTCTGCTTTTGGAACCCTGCCACCAAAATTTGCTCCAAACCTTCACCAAGACTGCGTCTCGGCACTGATGTTCGCCATGATATGAATTTTGGGTTTGGGTACGATGATAGGAGGGAAGTTACAAGGTGGTAGCAATGGTTGTGAAATTTCGTACACGTAAAACGAGTGTGTGGGTTTACTCCATGAGTGACGTATGTTGGAGACGTTCTTTAATGACCTATCCGATGACTTTTTTCACTCTTGACAGTAATGGATACTCTCTGAATGGCACTGTTAACTGGATAGGAGCTTCTTTGGGAGAATCGAGAACTAAGAAGCTACAAATTTTGTCGTATGATCTAAATAACGATACTTTGAGATGTTTGTCGGTGCCTGAATTCATCCCCATAGATTCTGGTTTTCCTTCTATGGGAGTTTTAAATGGTTGTCTTTGTGTTTCTTTAGATAAAGGGAGGACAGTCTTTGTTGTATTGGCATTGAAGGACGTTAGAGACGAAAGATCTTGGAGTCGGTTGGTGAGTGTAAGTTATGAAACTCTGAATATCTCTCCTTATTACTGTAAGGTGCGGATTTTGTGCATGTGGGGTGATCTTCTGTTTCTCGCATATTCAAATGGGGGTGCTTCCAATATCATTATCTTTAATTTGAAGGAGAATAAAGTAGAACGTACTCAAACTTACTACAAGAAATTTCTCTATTACATCTTCTCGTGTCACTATGTTCCAAGCTTGATTTTGCCTATTTGAGACATTTATTTAAATTAAATTAAGGTAGTGGTTTCAGAACTTTTTCAAAGGTATGGACATAATTTTGGTATTTCCTTAGTTTGATTTGTTCCATGATTGTTTCACTATTAATAAAATTTCGTTTCTGCATTGATTTTGGCTGCAAAAAAAATTAAACTTATGTACATTGTCAGCTAGAATTTTCTAGTCATCTGTGACCAAGGTTCAAAATTGTCATGGTGTTTCTGTCTTATTTGTGTAAAAGGAGAAGAAAAGGAGTGAAAGTAGAATGGTGAAGATGAAAATGAAGATTATTAAAGTGAAAGTGCTTGAGAAAACCAGATATGTAAAGTGAAAAATGTAAATGCATGATAACATAAATTATCAAGGATAGAACAAAAATTGGTAAAATAAATAAATGAAAGTTTTGCAATATATACATCATCATTTTTCAAATGAACAACACCTTTATATTTTTCCTCTTTTTCTCACAATTAAGCCAAATAAAAAATAAAAATTAGAAGAAAACTGCATAATTTGAAATAAGTGTTTAAAAACGGTACATGTTGTGTTAATTATTCTTATTAAACCCTTGTTTTGTCGCTATTATGATATGCTTCAACTCTCCTTTGCGACCACATGTAATTTATCTTTGGATTTCTATCTAATCGATGTCTTTCTTATTGCATTTCTTGAATTCTAAATCATTTTTTAATTTCCACTATGTTGACTTTATTTTAATTTCCTATATATGTAACGATTATTTTCTTAACTTTGTCCTTAATATCTTCATCTTTTGATGCAGATACTTGCCTTATTCTTTTTACGTATTTATTCCTCTATCTTTTGATGTCCTTATAACAAAAATGTTATGTTATGGCAATTATGTTTAAGATGATATTATTTAAAAATGTATTTCAACCTTAAATAAATATGTTGATATAGTCAATCATCATTGTATTATTTTTTTTTTTTACTTTTTGTTTGACAATATGTTTCAACACCAATCCGTTAAGATAATATTGTTAAAATTTATCAGTGTTATCTATTTTGGAGATTAAAGTTCTACTATAATTTTATTCTTAAAAAACATCAAAAAATTTGAAAGAAAAAAAAATATTCAAATTATCTCTAATCTTAAATCTTAAATTGTATGAAACGATAGAACGAAATAATATCAATAATGCATGATGACAATTTAAAGTGTCCATTAAAAAAAGAAAAAAAAAGTAATAATACAGCAAGAACAAAGTTAGGAAAAGAAAATCAGTGTCCAATAGAGTCTTCAAGCAAAGTTGACCGATTTCAAGAAATACAATTATAACATTTTAATAATTTTGTCTCAACAATCCTCAAAAGTGGATTGTAACTCATTTAGAACACACTACAATACAATCAAAGCCCTCAGAATAATTGTGATTATTATTTCACTATAAGAAAATTCTTAAATAATAATCAATTTTAATAACTAAAAATATCTTTAGAGATTAACTAAAAAATTAATTTTTCAATTAAAGATTAATTCTTTTGATAATCAAAATTTTAATAATTAATGATAATAATTAATTAGAAACCAATTTATAATAAAAACTATTTTAACTATAAATTTAGATAGTTATTATAATATTTTGAAACTATTTTAATTATTAATAATTTTTAGTTTTTATATTTATCATTATAGTCATTAATTATTTTTTATCACTAAAATTAGTTATTATTTAAGAATTTTCTTTATAAATAAATTTTTTCCACAATTGAAAACTTTGACTCAAATTTACAGTAATTTTCTAAAACTCCACTAATGTAGAATTTATCTCTACCAGGTGTATGGTTAAGAAGAGTGGGTGAGTTGATATATTCAGTAATTTAGGCATAAAATATTTTCGTATAAAATCTTTTTATAGTAATATAAAACGAGATTAAAGATTCATTAAATATGATAAAAGGGCTTCTAATAACCTAAAGGATATATTTCCAATTTTATAGTATAATTAGATGTCAAAATTATGAAAAAAAAAACTTTTTTTGTTGAATGTGTTTGTTTTTTTTTTCACATTAATTAAATTTCAAATAAAATAAAATAAAAAGGTTAAAATTTCTAATTTATTCAATTTCTAAGTGTAAAAGTTGGCATGTTCTAAACTAGTAAATTAAGTTGAGCAAACTAAAAAAAAAAGGAAGATGTAAGCTTTTCAATTATGGTGACTATATTTTTACCTTAAAAAGAAAATGACGATTATCATTAATACTAAGTCACGCATTTTCGCTTTGACTACGGGTTTTGAAGAATTCTTCGTTACCTTTTCTATAGCAATAATTTTTTTAACCTTAAAAAAATGTTTGAAATATTAACGTCTTAATTATTAAATAAACACACAAATATTATTGTATTAATGTCGATTACACACGAGAAGGAGTGATGTTTTGAAAAAAAAATGTGACGATGCTACTTATGTCGTTATCATACACTTTTATTTAAGTAATTTAAAATTTAATTATCATGTATATTAATTTTAAATTTAATATATTTTTAATACATATTTATTTATATAATTTATTTATTTTATATTTTTTCCTTTTTAAACATGATATATTATTTTAAATATTTAAAGTTTTAGTTTATCATATAAATTGGTTAAACCCCTTTAGTTGTCCCTATTTATCTAGAGTTTTCCCAGTTCAATCTCCGTTCTTTTAAAATTTCCAATTGAGTCCTAAATAGTGCTAATTTTGATCAATTGGGTCCCTGCCGTTAAATTTGACTTAACGGGGTTAAGTTTTGCTGAGGTTAGAAGTTGACGTGGCATATTTTTTAAACCTGACATTTAGAGAGCTTACATGTAATTTAAAAACATTTTAACATTTTGATTAAAAAATAAAAAAAAAGTCATCTTCCATCCATTTCAGTCAAGTCATCTTCCATCCAGAACTAGAGAACCCAATCGTGTAGAACCACCATCATCTTCCTCGTGCACCATCAACCTGCAATCAAGTAACCACAAAATCAAAATAGTGACTCTGTCATGTTCACTTTAATTCATCTCCTTCCATCTAGCACCACGAAGGCACTTTAATTCATTTCCTTCCATCCAACACCATGAAGGCAAATCGCCACCATGACCAACGTAACAGTGCTCAAGCTCTTCGCACCCAATCGAACTCATCATCATCTATTTTCTTCTCCATTAAACCATTTGAAACCTGTAAAAAGAAAACAAAATCACAAATCTAAAAATCCTCAAATTAGTCACCAACCCTAAATCACGCCAGACACAAATTGAACTATTTGAAAACCAGTTTTCCGGTGAATTACCTTAAGGTTTAAGAAACCTCAATAGTTTAATTCTCTTGGACCTCTCTCAGAACACTCTCACAGGGGAACTACCACATGCAATAGCCTCTTTGCGTCTCTATTCTCTTAACCTAAATGACAACCTTCTCGGGGGAAATTCCTGAAATTTTAGCTTTAAATCTGCATCAGCTGAAACTCTTCAACAACAACTTCACTGGGAAACTTCCACAAGATCTGGGACAAAACTCAGACATACAAGATCGCTTCTCCTCCAACCCTCCGCCAGCCTCAACAACCGCTTTCTCCCCCGTCCTGACCACATCTCCACCGGCGCCGTTTTGATCTGCGACGACAACGTGGAGGTGGACTCAAAGTCGTTGGAATTCGCGTTCCGCTGGCATGGCTCGCGCGCGGGGGATTGTGGACGCGATGCGGAACTTTGAAGATGTGTTGATGAACTTAGTGGTGGCAGAGGAGGCACAGGTGGGTCCATTGCTGGTGGGGGCGAAGAGAGTGAGGGATTACGGGGACGCAAGGAACGAGGGGAGGAAGGGGTGAGGGTGGGGTTATGTAGTACGAAAGGGGAGCACAGGAAGAGAAGAGGGTGGTGCATTGGGGTTACTTGATTAAAATGTTTCTTGATTGCAGAGTCATTATTTTGATTTTGTTTTCCAGGTTGATGGTGCACAAGGAAGATGATGGTGGTTCTACGCGTTTGGGTTGTTCAGGATTATACTTGACTGAAATGGATGGAAGATGGAAGATGACTTTTTTTTTAATTTTTTAATCAAAATGTTAAAATGTTTTTAAATTACACGTAAAGCTCTCTAAATGCCAGGTTTAAAAAATCTGCCACGTCAACTTCCAACCTCAACAAAACTTAAGCCCGTTAAGTCAAATTTAACGTCAAGGACTCAATTGATCGAAATTAGCACTATTTAGGACTCAATTGGAAATTTTAAAAGAACGGAGATTGAACTGGAAAAACTCTACATAAATAAGGATAACTAAATGTTTTAACCCATATAAAATAGTTAGTTTATAAGAGAATAAAGAAGTTGGAAAAATACATACCCATTTTTTAAAGATATCTGATATTATATTAAATTTCTTTTACATTAAAAAAAATACATGAGTTTTTGCATATTTTATTTTTTTACAATTAAAATAATGAATATAATTAAAAAAATGAATTATATATATTTTTGTCTCTTAATTTTTAATAAAAATTAAAATTAGTTTTTTCAAAATTTTAATTTAATTTAATCTCAAAATTTTTGTAAACCATGAAGTTAATTATTTTAACTAAATTTTTATTAAATTTATTGACGTTTTAAAAAATTTGAATTTAGTAATCGCTATTTTGACATATTTTTATATAAAACTGACAACTTTTTTTTCTTTTTTATTGTTTCATTATAATGATAGTTTCTTAAATAGTTTTAAATATTTATAAAAATCAAATATATTTTGAATATTTTATATTAAACTGGCAGATTTTTTTCTCTTTTTTTTTTATTTTTGCCTTATAATTATAGTTTCTTAAATAGTTTTAAATATTTAAAACAACCAAATATATTTTGAGTCTTTTATATAAAACTGCAAGATTGTTTTTTTCTTTTTTTATTTTTTCATTATAATTATAGTTTCTTAAATAGTTTTAAATATTTATAACAACCAAATATATTTTGAATATTTTATATAAAACTGACAGATTTTTTTCTCTCTTTTAATTTTTTCATTATAGTTATAGTTTCTTAAATAGTTTTAAATATTTATGACAACCAAATATATTTTAAAATATTAAATTATAAAAAAAATAATTAAAAAAGATATTATAATAACGGTTTCGGTTATTAAATATTTATAAATAATTATATTTTAAAATAATTATATTTTAAATATTTATAACAACCAACAAACACACACTTGATTCTATATGTTTCGGTTCACTGATACCTTCAACTATAAAATTCTGTTAACAACATGAGATTTGTGAAATAATACTAGATTTCAAAATCTGATTAAGATTCCATGAATACCATGTTATGTATTCCGGTTAATGAAAAAAGAATTTCAGAGGAACAGGTTCAAGCATGGTATCTAATGGGAGTAAACTCTATATGTTGGGGTTGCCACAGCCTATCTCACAGGATTTTGGAAAGAAGACGGCGATGGCTGGAATACTCCCTCATGAACTCATACTGGAAATTCTGTCATGGCTTCCTGTGACGAGTCTCATGCGATTCAGGTGCGTTTCAAAGACATGGAAATTTCTTATATCCGATGATCCTTACTTAGTGAAATTGCACATGGAAAGGTCCTCCAGAAACCCACAAATCCTCTTAATGGCGAGACAGAGATACAAGAGTCAATGTTTCATGGCTCGTTTAGGCTCATTACCTTGTTTAATCCAAAACCCTGCACCATCTTCTTGTGGTCGTATCTTGCGATGCCCCAAACCCTATAAATATGTATTCGGTTCTTGCAATGGTTTGCTTTCTCTACATCACTCTCTTTCGACAAATGAGTGTGAAGAGCACTGGGTCTGCTTTTGGAACCCTGCCACCAAGATTTGCTCCAGACCTTCACCAAGCTTGCGTCTCAATTACGGCATGGGTGTTCAATATGATATAAATTTTGGGTTTGGGTACGATGATCGGAGGGACAGTTACAAGGTGGTGGCAATGGTTTTGGATAGCAGTACACAGCGAACGAGTGTGTGGGTTTACTGCATGGGTGACGTATGCTGGAGACGTACTATAATGACCTCTCCGGCTTTTCTCACTTTTGACAGTAATGGATACTCTCTGAATGGTACTGTTAACTGGATAGGATATTCTTTTGAAGAATCGAAATTTGAGGAGCTACAAATATTTTTGTACGATCTAAAGAACGATAGTTGCAGATATTTGTCGGTGCCTGAAACCGAAGCTTCTGAGTTTACTTCTATGGGAGTTTTGAATGGTTGTCTTTGTGTTTCTTTTGATGAACGGAGGACAGTCTTTGTTGTATTGACATTGAAGGACGTTGGAGACGAAAGATCTTGGAGTCGGTTGGTGAGTGTAAGCTATGAAACTCTCAATATCTCTCCTTATTACGATTACCTGCAGACTTTGTGCATGTGGGGTGATCTTCTGTTTCTCGCATATTCAGAGATTGGGGCTTACAATATCATTATCTTTAATTTGAAGGAGAATAAGGTAGAACGTACTGAAGGTTACTACAAGAAAGTTTTCAGTCTCATCTTCTCCTGTCACTATGCTCCAAGCTTGATTTTGCCTATTTGAGACATTTATTTATGTTAAATTATGATAGTGGTTTCAGAATTTATTTATTTTGATTTCCTCTGTAACCATTATTTTCTTAACCTTCTGTTTATTATACCTTATCAAATGCTCCCTATACCTTATCAAACTTCCCTAAATTTTTTTAATTACTAAATTATCTTTTTCTACTTTATTTAATTAACTTTATTTATTTACTTTTTTTTCTGAAACCCTAAATCCCCACCACCCCAAGTCTCCCAACTCTCACTCTCTGTTTTAGTTTTCAGATCCGTTTGTTTCTCATCCCCTACTCTCACTTCCAAATCCGTTTCTTCTCATCCCCCCTGAAACTCTTCAACAACAACTTCACTGGGAAACTTCCACAAGATCTGGGACAAAACTCAGACATACAAGATCGCTTCTCCTCCAACCCTCCGCCAGCCTCAACAACCGCTTTCTCCCCCGTCCTGACCACATCTCCACCGGCGCCGTTTTGATCTGCGACGACAACGTGGAGGTGGACTCAAAGTCGTTGGAATTCGCGTTCCGCTGGCATGGCTCGCGCGCGGGGGATTGTGGACGCGATGCGGAACTTTGAAGATGTGTTGATGAACTTAGTGGTGGCAGAGGAGGCACAGGTGGGTCCATTGCTGGTGGGGGCGAAGAGAGTGAGGGATTACGGGGACGCAAGGAACGAGGGGAGGAAGGGGTGAGGGTGGGGTTATGTAGTACGAAAGGGGAGCACAGGAAGAGAAGAGGGTGGTGCATTGGGGTTACTTGATTAAAATGTTTCTTGATTGCAGAGTCATTATTTTGATTTTGTTTTCCAGGTTGATGGTGCACAAGGAAGATGATGGTGGTTCTACGCGTTTGGGTTGTTCAGGATTATACTTGACTGAAATGGATGGAAGATGGAAGATGACTTTTTTTTTAATTTTTTAATCAAAATGTTAAAATGTTTTTAAATTACACGTAAAGCTCTCTAAATGCCAGGTTTAAAAAATCTGCCACGTCAACTTCCAACCTCAACAAAACTTAAGCCCGTTAAGTCAAATTTAACGTCAAGGACTCAATTGATCGAAATTAGCACTATTTAGGACTCAATTGGAAATTTTAAAAGAACGGAGATTGAACTGGAAAAACTCTACATAAATAAGGATAACTAAATGTTTTAACCCATATAAAATAGTTAGTTTATAAGAGAATAAAGAAGTTGGAAAAATACATACCCATTTTTTAAAGATATAAGATATTATATTAAATTTCTTTTACATTAAAAAAAATACATGAGTTTTTGCATATTTTATTTTTTTACAATTAAAATAATGAATATAATTAAAAAAATGAATTATATATATTTTTGTCTCTTAATTTTTAATAAAAATTAAAATTAGTTTTTTCAAAATTTTAATTTAATTTAATCTCAAAATTTTTGTAAACCATGAAGTTAATTATTTTAACTAAATTTTTATTAAATTTATTGACGTTTTAAAAAATTTGAATTTAGTAATCGCTATTTTGACATATTTTTATATAAAACTGACAACTTTTTTTTCTTTTTTATTGTTTCATTATAATGATAGTTTCTTAAATAGTTTTAAATATTTATAAAAATCAAATATATTTTGAATATTTTATATTAAACTGGCAGATTTTTTTCTCTTTTTTTTTTATTTTTGCCTTATAATTATAGTTTCTTAAATAGTTTTAAATATTTAAAACAACCAAATATATTTTGAGTCTTTTATATAAAACTGCAAGATTGTTTTTTTCTTTTTTTATTTTTTCATTATAATTATAGTTTCTTAAATAGTTTTAAATATTTATAACAACCAAATATATTTTGAATATTTTATATAAAACTGACAGATTTTTTTCTCTCTTTTAATTTTTTCATTATAGTTATAGTTTCTTAAATAGTTTTAAATATTTATGACAACCAAATATATTTTAAAATATTAAATTATAAAAAAAATAATTAAAAAAGATATTATAATAACGGTTTCGGTTATTAAATATTTATAAATAATTATATTTTAAAATAATTATATTTTAAATATTTATAACAACCAACAAACACACACTTGATTCTATATGTTTCGGTTCACTGATACCTTCAACTATAAAATTCTGTTAACAACATGAGATTTGTGAAATAATACTAGATTTCAAAATCTGATTAAGATTCCATGAATACCATGTTATGTATTCCGGTTAATGAAAAAAGAATTTCAGAGGAACAGGTTCAAGCATGGTATCTAATGGGAGTAAACTCTATATGTTGGGGTTGCCACAGCCTATCTCACAGGATTTTGGAAAGAAGACGGCGATGGCTGGAATACTCCCTCATGAACTCATACTGGAAATTCTGTCATGGCTTCCTGTGACGAGTCTCATGCGATTCAGGTGCGTTTCAAAGACATGGAAATTTCTTATATCCGATGATCCTTACTTAGTGAAATTGCACATGGAAAGGTCCTCCAGAAACCCACAAATCCTCTTAATGGCGAGACAGAGATACAAGAGTCAATGTTTCATGGCTAGTTTAGGCTCATTACCTTGTTTAATCCAAAACCCTGCACCATCTTCTTGTGGTCGTATCTTGCGATGCCCCAAACCCTATAAATATGTATTCGGTTCTTGCAATGGTTTGCTTTCTCTACATCACTCTCTTTCAACAAATGAGTGTGAAGAGCACTGGGTCTGCTTTTGGAACCCTGCCACCAAGATTTGCTCCAGACCTTCACCAAGCTTGCGTCTCAATTACGGCATGGGTGTTCAATATGATATAAATTTTGGGTTTGGGTACGATGATCGGAGGGACAGTTACAAGGTGGTGGCAATGGTTTTGGATAGCAGTACACAGCGAACGAGTGTGTGGGTTTACTGCATGGGTGACGTATGCTGGAGACGTACTATAATGACCTCTCCGGCTTTTCTCACTTTTGACAGTAATGGATACTCTCTGAATGGTACTGTTAACTGGATAGGATATTCTTTTGAAGAATCGAAATTTGAGGAGCTACAAATATTTATGTACGATCTAAAGAACGATAGTTGCAGATATTTGTCGGTGCCTGAAACCGAAGCTTCTGAGTTTACTTCTATGGGAGTTTTGAATGGTTGTCTTTGTGTTTCTTTTGATGAACGGAGGACAGTCTTTGTTGTATTGACATTGAAGGACGTT